ACACACGTATATATATATATATATATATATATATATATATATATATATATATATATATATATACATACACACGTATATATATATATATATATATATATATATATATATATATATATATATACACACACGTATATATATATATATATATATATATATATATATATATATATATATACATATATACGTGTGTATATATGTATATACATATATATATATATATATATATATATATATATATATATATATATATATATATATATATGTATATATATATATATATATATATATATATATATATATATATATATATATATGTATATATGATTTTATAGCTAGAGACAGACACTCAATGATTAGGGACATTTATATTCTATTTTAATATCATTTTACATATAGAAATGCCTTTAATATATGTCAGAGCATCCTTTTGCCTTTAACACTGCATCATATATAGTCAATACGAGTGTTCTTTCACTCTTTGTTTACCCTCTCCCATAGATCATCAATGAAACACTGCAGAATCTATTTTCTTTGCAATATCGTTCGAAACATGCTCGATTGGGTCCATATCAGGATTATTACCAGTCCATTCCAAAACTGTCAGCTTATTTTTGGCCATCCAGATCTTAACAATCTTTGCAACGTAGCAGGGAACATTACCCTGCTGGAAGATTGCTTCACTATCCTCAAAATAGTGGATTAGAGAAGGAACTATGCAGTATTTTAACATCTTAATGCAATACCCTCCATTAGTTGTTCCACTCATTGTGAACAATCGGCCAACACCTTTGCTAATATTGCAGTCCCAGACCATGATGCTACCAACACCATGCTTAACCGTGGGAGCTAAAACCTCTGTATGCGATTGCCCATTCAAGTCTTTTCTCCCTTTCCTTTTCTGTCAATAATGGCTTCTTTTTGGCCCTACTATAACTTAACCACTCTCCAGAAGTATTCTCCTCACCGTTCTACCACTCACATCTACGTCAAAATTCTTCTTGAACTCATTCATTGGCTAATGTCTTCCTTCTATCAGCCTCTATAATGACTGTCCTCTCTTTTTGTTATCTTCTTCCCGCCGCTGCCTGTCCTGTCTTCCCCCGTTTCTGTTTCTTTGTAAAGTACTTTATCTCAGCTGAAATTTTTGTGTGCGATTGCCCATTCAATTTTCTTTCTTTACTCTTCAGTAAATAATGGCTTCTTCCTGGCCCTACAATGATTTAAACTACTCTCTAGAAGTCTTCTCATTGTCATACTGTTGTGTTTATTATTTGCAAAGTTCCTAGGGTCATTAAAAAGGTGTGAAGAAGTCATTGCCACTACCCGATCGGTACGCTCGGGAACGAGTGTGTTGCAAGGTCAGAAGAATTGTGGAAAGGAGCGACAGCAGTGTGCGCGTGTGTGTGTGTGAAGCGTAGTTGTGCAAATGAGCCAAAGTGAGATAGACATGATTAGAATCCCGAGAAGAGGCGAGTACAGATGCTTCATCTCTACATTTGGGTTTTTATTTGCTATTTAACTTTAGAAACTGAAATATACACACGTGTGTGCGTGCATATGTATACATATATATATATACTTATATATACGTACATATTATATATTCATATACATA